TCCTCCGTACCCCCCCCCCCCCCCCCAAATGATATGTATTCTGGACCTTGTGCGATCAACATGCAACCATTAACCATCTTCACTGCTCCTCGTTGTTCTTTTTCCCTTCTCTCTCAGCTATGTCATAGGCGATAAGTCAATTCTGAAGGATGCTGGGATTCAGGATATAAAGGATGTGGAAGCATTGCCTCCTCCACCTGAAATTAAGGACAAAGTTCCAGCTCAGAAATACAAGGGTGAAATTAGCTACTTCATCTGTACAAGACCAGGTAGAGGTCCAGTTTTGTTGACGGACGATAGCCATGCTCTCCTCAATCCAGAAAATGGATTGCCCAAGTAAAAGATCATTTTTTTTTGTACGAATGTGTTTAGTACTCGGGGCAACTCCAAGTCTTGAGATCCAAGTGTTGCAGCCTCTTTAGCCTTTAAAAGGTGGATGCTGCCATTTTAACCTGGTTTTAGTTTGGATGAAATTTGAATTCAAAGCTTTTGTTTGTAGCTTAGGTTCCTGTATTAGTTTTCAGTTGAAATAGTTGTGTACTCTTTCATCTTTGAGCAATGAAATAAAAGTCCTCAAATCTGCTTCTTTTAGAACTAAAAAAGATCTCTTATATTTTCCCCTGTAAAATCTTGCAATTGATTATCAACCGTCCTCTCTTATTAGATGTTGTCTGCTTTCCTTCTTGAGTTGTGTTAATATTATGTGTACTTTCTTGAAAGTGTATTTCTAGTATAACTTACAGAGTTAGCATGATTCTATTTTTACTTGCAGCATTTAGAAAAACAACAACAACAACAACCCAGTATAATCACACTAGTGGGGTCTGGGGAGGGTAGTATGTACGCAAACCTTACCCTTACCCGGGGTAGAGAGACTGTTTCCGATAGACCCTCGGCTCCCTCCCTCCAAGAACTGTGGAGGGTGCTTACCACTAGAGCAACCCACTCTTGTAGCAGCATTTAGAAAAAGTTTTTTTTTTTAAAAGAGAGGCAGTATTGCTGTGTTTTCCACATGTTACTCCCTTAAAGGGAAAAAACTTGTGTCCTCGTATTTTCTTGAACTAAATATTTCGAAATCTGTTATTCCAGAAAATATTTAAACAATTTGTCAAGTGGAAAAACAGGATATTCATTTCGAGGAACAAAGAAATAGAGCTTTTTTCAAACTTAAGCAGAAAAAGAAGTTTTACTGCAACTGTTAATAGTTATAAGAGAAATTTATCCTAATTCTCATAGTCCTTATATAGTGTTTATACATATAGCACACTTTAAGTTCCAGCATTCTTCAATCGGCAAAGGACAAATATATTCCCTCTACTTTCGAAAATGGTCTAAGAATACCCCTCGTTATACTATTGAGTTATCTATACACCTGCAGTCATACTTTGGGTTCAAATATACCCCTCATTTAAACGGAGGGACACGAGTCATCGTCATGTTGGTCAATTCTAAATATCTCCTAATTAATTAAAAATATCCATTACACATACCCGAAAAATAATTCAATTCTAAATATCTCCTAATTAATTAAAAACACTCATTAGCTATACCCGAAAAATAATTTTTTTTTTGTAAAAACTGGAAAAAACTAAAAATATTTTTTACTAAAAACTGAAAAAAACGAAAATATTTTTTTTCCCAGTTTTTACAAAAAAAACTGCTTTAAAAAAACTAAAAAATATTTTCTAAAACAATATTTTTGTAAAAACTGAAAAACAAAAACTGAAAAGCAATTTTCGTTTTTTTAAAGCAGTTTTTTTTCAGTTTTTTTAAAGCAGTTTTTTTGTAAAAATTGGAAAAAAAATATTTTCGTTTTTTTCAGTTTTTAGTAAAAAAATATTTTTAGTTTTTTCTAGTTTTTACAAAAAAAAAATTATTTTTCGGATATGGGTAATGAGTCTTTTTAATTAATTAGGAGATATTTATAAATGACTAACATGACGATGACACGTGTCCCTCCGTTCAAATGAGGAGTATATTTGAACCCAAAGTATGACTGCAGGGGTATAGATAACCTAATAATATAACGATGGGTAGTCTTAGATAATTTTCGAAAGTAGAGGGGTATATTTAGCCCTTTGCCGTTCTTCAATTTAAACATCAAAATTGGAAATTTACGCTCTTTAGATAATAATCACAATTCACATACTCATATGATTTTCCAAATAGGGGTATCCTTAGTATCACTTAACATGGATGCTTCATAATTACTCCTCTTAACACATAAATATGCGATTGACAATGGCAACACTGTTAAGAAAAGGAAAAATGATATTATATAACTGCTGTCAAAATAATAGTCGAAATATATATATATATATATATATATATATATATTTCTGTATGTTATTTACAAAAAATATATAAATTTTATACACTCTTGCGACTACCGAATATAAATAGTTTCGACCGCGGGCTAAACGTGATCGTTGCCCGTTTAGAAACATGTTAAAATGGCACTAAATTTGGATTACAACTCTTTCTAAAAATGAAAAATGTATTCAACTGTACTAACTAGTAACTAACATGCGAACCAAACGACTCGTGCCTTAATTGACACATGCTAACACTTAGGATTGTTATTTCTACGACTCCCAAGATACAACTAACCACGAGGTTACATTAATTTGCAAAATACTAGTAATATGGCCTTAATTTTGAAGTTAGTGTTGTATGGGTAAAAAACTTCATTTGATGTGTTTGACCAGATCAACGGTAGTAAAGCCTTTGAAGGATGTGACGTGTCGATATGACTCCAAAAGATCGAGGTCAAAGGTGAAAGATAAAGCGGAGCCGAGGTCGAACCAAATCGGCAGAGGACGAGGACGAGCATCAATTCTCAGCACGTAGTGACGACTAGTCTTATGATTTATAGAATATTTTATGAATATTCTCTTATGTTGTACTATATAGGGTTTTGTTGCCCATGTGCCCTTATAAATAGGAAGAGAGATAGATCAAAGGAGGATTGGACATTTTGTAAAGGATTTCATCAATATTTTCCGTACAAGATTCTCACTTTGTTGAATAAAAACAAAGATTGACTTTACATTTTCCTTCCTTTATTTTCTAGTTCTTGTGATGCTAATATTATTTCTTTGGTTTCTGTTTGATGGTACTAATATATTGTCATTTCCCTTCTTTTCTCGTATTTTCTGTCTTCTTGAGTTGAGGATCTTTCGGAAATAGCCTCTCTACTCCTTCGGGTAGGGGTAAGGTATGCGTACACACTAGGGGTGTTTAACGGGCGGGTTGGGATGGGCTGGACAAAAAAAAATCAGCCCGTCTGTTTAACGTTGCGGGCTGTTAGCGGGCTAAGTTAGCGGGCTATTAGCGGGCTGTACTTTTTCGGATTTTTTTTTTTCGTCCGGGTTCGGGCTTAGAGGGTTGTTAGCGGGTTGTTCGAGGGCTGTTAGCGGGCCGTGGATTTTTATTTTTTTTTTAAGTAAATTTTATTTTTCTTATTCAATGTTATTTGATACTTAAGTGTTTGTAAACTTTTAAGGCTTAGAATTAAACTTTGAAGTTTAAAATTTTAAATTTTAAATTTGAATTTTATAATGTTAAAATTAAAATTTGAAAGTAAGTGGCTACAAAAAATTATTTAATAAGACCTATATGTAAGGATCAAGCTTCGAAGACTTTCATTTGATATTTTTATTGAATAATATATAACACTTCAAATTAAGTTGCAAGTTCTTTTTTGATTTTGTTATTTTTGAACTTGCAAATTAAAATTTTACAACAATTGTAAAAAAACAAATAGTACATCACATGCTTTGCATCATTTTTGTAAGTTCATCCATGTCAAGTTGAGGTTCTTGATTTCCGGCATTGGTTGAATCAGAACCATAAACCATTATATCTCCAATTTCTTGGTCCTCCGCTTCATCTACCTCGTCACGCCCTTGATTTCGTCGTTCTAATCTTATCCAATCTCTGAAGCACACTAGAATTTTCAAAGCGTTGCTACCCAATGAATGACGGGTATCTCCTAGTTGCTGCCTTGCTTGGCTAAATGCGCTCTCTGATGCGACTGTTGAAATCGACACATTTAGCACGTCTCGAGCCATGGCCGAAAGAACAAGAAATTGATTTGAGTTGCTCCTCCACCAACCCAATGGTAGAAATTCCTTTGTGCGGGGCTCTGCTGACTTTTGCAAGTAGAATTGAAGTTCATTATTTTTCCTGCTACTGGTTTGTTGATGGCTTGATGCTCCCCTATTGTAGATCAAATCAAATAATCTTCAACACCATCATTATCATCCAAAGCACTGGTCCCAGATGTTGAAACTGAACTTGAAGAAATATTTGCATCTACAACAGAAGAAGCATCAACAATGTTAGCATAATAATTATATAATGTTTCTAAATGTTTGTGTAGATAAGAAATACAAGTGTCAATATCAGGAGTTTAAGTTGGTCCATAAAAAATTAAAAAAAAATTAAAAACGTTAGTAAACGAGCTGAACCGGGTTGTAGCCCGTTAACAACGCGTTAACGGGTTAACGGGCTGAACCGGGTTGTAGCCCATTAACAACCTGTTAACAACCCGTTAATGGATTAACGGGCTTAACGGGTTCCGGTGCACCGGTATCAAAAAATTATTCGTTTGAAACACGCTCCCTGCCCAACCCGTCCCAGCCCGCCCCCCACGTTATAGTACCGGGCTGAACCGGGCTGAGACGAACTGTAAACGGATCAGCCCGGCCCAATTAACAGGTATAGTACACACTACCCTCTCCAGACCTCACTTGTGGAATTTTATTGGATCGTTCTAGTTGTTATTCTTCTCTTAGACTTGTAGGTCTTTATTGCTTCATTCTTATTTCAAGTTGTTTTCTTTAGTGTTACACATTAACGCACTTACCATAAAACACTGGATCTGTCCTTAAATATTGATTTTGACTGTGATTAACCCCATTTTTCTATTAATCTAATTGTATAAAACCAAAATCTATTTTTTTGGGTCATACAAGTTTCAAATTATCTTTAGCTTGTAGTGAAATTTTGCACTTTCCATTGAAAAAGTAAAAGTGCTTCTCACAAGGCCACACCTTAAACGTTGTAAACCGATGTCAGGATCTGGTTGGAAATGCCATTGCAAAACTATACCAACAATAGAAGTTTGATCAACACAGAATCTGTCTTCTTACAAAGGAATCTCAAAATCTCTTTCTTCCCCTTTAAGAATGCATTATCTGCTCTTTCTCTCCGGTCAGGAATGTCTTCCAGATAATCTCCTTCACGCCTCGATCATGAATAAGCAGATGTCCAACATTGGGTACTTCATGGTATTGTATCCACGGAAGCCTTTGTGCGACGTAGCGCTGTAATATAACAGGCACAACCCAGTCTTCAACACCATGCCACAAGTGGACAAAGCCTTCACTGTTCGGGAAAGGGCTCTTAAGATCCATAGGATCAAAATCCCATTTCCCGAACCCCACCATCATGTCACGATGGAGGGACTCGTATACTCCTTGTTTTACAGCATATTCCTACATACGAAAGAAGCAGCAACTTTTAAGCCAACAACGATCATCACATAAGTAATAGCTCATGAAAGTAATTCCGAATTGTGGGTTATTTGTACTAATCAATTACATTCTAGCACTACGGTGGCTTGCTTTTCACTTCCACTCAAAAACAACAACATCAACAACAAACCCAGTGTAATCCCACATGTGGGATCTGGGAGGGTAGTGTGTGCACAGACCTTACCCTACCTTTAAGAAGGCGGAGAGGTTGTTTCCGATAGACCGTCGGCTCGGGAAAGATAAAAGGTAGGGCAACAACAAGCACACCAATCAGAAAACCGAAGCGAAAATACAAAACTAACACTAGATAATGCAATGAGAAAACCGAAATGAAAGCAACAACAAGCAATCACACAAGTCAAGAAATACGAAAATACACAAATGACACTAAGTCATGTACTAGCCACTTCACATGACTAGCCAAGGTGCAAAAAGTAACATAATACCACAGATCCTGGTGCAACAAACATGAAAACTTGTAATTCGTATGGTTTTGTCGCTCCTATAGTGGTTATTCTAATGTCTCACTAAAAACAGTAGAAACATGTAATATGAGCAGGAATAAAACAACTCCAAGCCGTGACACTTCACATTTCCATGAATTCTTCCAGCAAATTTATTACAAGGATCAAACACATTCAAGGGATCGTGAACCGACTGTAATCTAACGGTAAATTATCCATATTCAGGCAGGAAACTGATTTACCTTAAGATTTTTTATTTTGTTTGCGTGCTCAGCAGATCTAGAAGCAACTTTTAAATCTGGAGGAGACATTTTTGGTTTTTCAGCTATAACACTATTGCACGGGAACCACTTCTGAGTGTTCCACCAGTAGACTAGCCAAGGTGCATAATGTGCAACTCGAAGCGCCCATTGGTCCTGTGGGAGCTGTAGATTGTATCCTTCTGTAGATAAATTAGCAGGAAATCCAGGCCACCAGTAATTGACAACGGGAGCAACTAGAGCTACTCCTGCCAACCTATTAGCACCAGAAAAAATGCAACTTTATATTTGAGAAAAGCAATCAAATCTCATGAGTAAAAGGAAGAACTGCCACAGAGAGGAAAAGAATGTAGCCCTGTAAAAATAGTAGAAAATACAGGAATTACTGGAATTCTACTTGCTGTTCGTGAGAATAGCGAGGTTCCACAAGAAAGTAGCAAAATATCACGTAGGGGAACTTTGATTTGTGAAACAGCGAGATCTACGCTTCTTCAGTTACACCACTATACCTTTCAGGTGAAGATATGTATCATAGTGGCAAGTACTTAAGGTGAAAATCTGCTAAAATTTATAGAACAGTTTGTTTCATGTTGGAAAGGCTTTGCTATATAATCAAAACTTCCTCCTCCTCTGTTAATTCTTAGGTCTTTACATTTTGTGACTGATGGGTTATGATAATGATGACATGGCAGTTGAACGTTAAAGACAAGATTTCATGGAGCATGTTGCTCATGCCAAATGATTTTCAGACGTCGAGCTTAAAAGCAAAAGATCATTCCGTACACTACATACCGATTAGGGATGTACTTAAGGCAACCCCAAACTGAATGACCACCCATGGAAAACCCCATAACATAAAATTTAGGGCCAAGTCCCAGTTGATCAGCGAGCTCTTCCATATCCAAAGGTGTAGTTTTTATGGTTCGCTCTGGATCAGGATCGCTTTCCCCATAACCAGGTCTATCAAAAGAGACAACATACGCCCCTAATTCTTCAAGTGTTTCCTGAAAGAAACAACATGATCCATTCCAATCTCAGTTCGATTATACTCGAACGGAAGCAGAATTATAAGTTTGACAAAGAGTCGATGAAATACCAAAGGTGCAACAGCTGCATCATATCTGCAAGATCCAAAGCTATGAGCATATATGACCTTATATTTGGCGGTTTCTTTGGATACACCATGCTCCTTATAAGCCAGATGTCTTCCGTCCCTAAGTTTGATTCTCGGTCCAGTAATTAATGGACCACCAGGAGAGCCACAGATTTTGGGGGGTGGAGGTTGGAGGGCCGGGAATGCCCATGCTAGACCTGCAACCAACAAGACAACTAAAACTTTCCCAAGCATACCTGAAGCCCTGAACACAAGACATACGTAGTTCTTACAATAATATTGGAAAATGCAGATCGCATAGTGCAACTGTACATAGTATGAATGACAGAGGGCCAAAACCTAGGAAATACTGATGACTTAGTTGGGAAAAAAAACATTTTTTTCATAACGGATACAGATGAATTAGTTGGACAAAAAAAAAACATTTTAGATTTTGCTTACAAGGAAAGTTCAGCATTTATATGACAGTAAAGAAAATAAAGAATGGTGGCGAGGTGATGATGAATAAGAGAATGTGGAATGCACAACTGAAGGACAAACAAATTAAACAAGATGTAATAACTTACAATTAGGTGTTCTATTGGAATTTTCAACTAATCAAGTTCTTCAACAAGCAAGAAACATAAGCACCCTCTTTTTTGTTAAGATTGAAGGGTTGCAATCACAAAACTTCAGTATGATAACCCTAGCTGATCTAAATGCCAGATTCCCCGAACTTATGAATTCATCCACTTGAGTCCTACAACCACAATGGATGCAGTAACACACCATATTCAAGGGGAGGTGCCATGGTGTATGTTGTTCGTTGATGATATAGTTCTGATTGATGAGACGCGAGTCGGCACTAACGAGAGGCTTGAGATTTGGAGACAGACCTTTGAGCTTAAAGGTTTCAAGTTGAGTAGGACTAAGATAAAATATCTGGAGTGCAAGTTCAGTGATGTGTCGGGGGAAGCTGACATGGACGTGAGGCTTGACTCACAAGTCATCCCCAAGAAAGGAAGTTTCAAGTACCTTGGGTCAATTATCCATGGGGTGGGGAAATAGACGAGGATGTCACGCACCGTAAAGGGGTGGGGTGGATGAATGAAGGTTAGCATCCGGAATCCTATGTGACAAGAAAGTGCCACCGAAACTTAAAGGCAAGTTCTACAAAGCGGTGGTTAGACCGGCCATGTTGTATGGGGTTGAGTGTTGGCCAGTCAAGAATTCTCATATCCACAAGATGAAAGTAGCAGAAATGAGGATGTTGAGATGGATGTGCGGGCACACTAGGCTGGATAAGATTAGGAATGAAGATATACGGGTGAAGGTGGGCGTGGCTCCCATGGACGACAAGATGCGGGAAGCGAGGCTTAGATGGTTCGGGCACGTGCGGAGGAGAAACCTAGATGCCCCGGTTAGGAGGTGTGAGCGATTGGCATTGGCATGCATGAGAAGAGGTAGAGGGCGGTCTAAGAAGTATTGGGGTGAGTTGATCAGGCAAAACATGGCGCAGCTTCAGATTTCCAAGGAGATGGCTCTTGATAGGAAGGTGTGGAAGTCGACATTAGGGTTAAAGGGTAGGAAGGAATCAAGCGTTTTTCTACTTTGTACCGAGGGCGGGGCTAGTCTGATAGTGTTTAGCCTTGGATTGCTAGTGGTTTATGTAGTGTCCACACTATTTTTCCGTTTTTTCATAGTACTGTGGCATTATTATTGTTTATTGGGTATTGCTTTTCCATCTATTTTTTGTCTCTTACGATGCTGATATTATTTTTCTGACTTCTGTTGTTGTCACTGATCTATTATTTATTTTCGTTTTATTTTCGTCTTCTTGAGCCGAGGGTCTTTCGGAAACATCCTCTCTACCCCTTTGGTGTAGGGGTAATGTCTGTGTACACTCTACACTCCCCAGACCCCACTTGTGGGATTTTACTGGATCGTTGTTGTTGAGTCCTACAACCCATTTCCCTCAATGTGGCAAGGAAAAATTGAAGTAAAAGATTGTCTACTATGACTTAGCTTGGATTATACTTCCTTTATGGCGATAGGCACTTTTAACTTCAACAACAAATTCCTATGTCTTTCTTTAATCCTCTCTGTCTAAAACCTACACAGTAGAAATGAAGCTAGATTTGGCAGATGCAAACATAAAATTACACCAAATATAACTTTATATCTTCTTCTCTATACTTAATTCTTCTCTTATATTCCATCAAACCATCAGATCTTCTTGTTTCCTTTTCTACTCTTCTTTTCTGGCTAATGTAATTTCTCCTCTCAATTTTCCTCTTCAATCCCTCTTTGTTTCTCAATTTTTTCTCAGCAACTCCTACTTTTTCCTTTTATAACCGTGGTGTTCACGCAGCTTGCGCGCCTCGACTAATTCCATGGGATAGGAATTGAACTTGAGACCCCATGGTTCTCAACACACTTCATTTACCACACCCTTGAGTGCAGCTGCTACTTTCCTACTCTAATTTTCCTTCTCATAATTATAATCCTAAACATTTTAACCAATCAATCAATTAATCAACTACGCCTTAATCCTAAACTAGTTGAGTTCAGTTGCATGGATCTTCAATAACCATTCTGCTCAATTCAGTTAAATAAAAGAATTCATCAATAAAATCCCTTTAAAAAATCGAATCTTGATTTCACTTTTAGTTAAAGAACACAGGACTTAAAAATAAAAAAACAAAGAACAAAAGCATTAACGAGTTGGATGTCATCTAGTTGTCCTGTAACATACCTTGACTGGAATTGGAATGGTAAAAAATTGAGTCTTGAAGATGATTCAAAGGCTTTGTACGGAGAATTTTACGAGCTTGAGGTTTAACAAGTGAGAAGACAGTTGGGTTTAACTTATTAGAACTATGGGGGGAACTGTATAAAGATTTTGTAGAAGTCAAGAATGTTGGGTGAAGTCCCTGTTTTTGAATAAATGGAGGCATTGAAATGTGACAGCAGCAGCCAAATTTATTTGTTGAAAAAGTAGAGGTGACCTTTTTATAGTGGTGGTTGGTTCCCAGCAGCACCTACTCTATAATACATAGTAGCTCCTTAAAATTGAGCTACTAACTTCAAAAGCAAATTCTGAAAAAGCTTCATACTCCATTTAAATAAGATTTAGCACTATTTTCTTATTAATTTGTTTCAATAATAAAAAGCATCATAACTTTTAAAAGTTTTACAGTCACATAAATAATATGATTTATTTAATATCAGATATCTCAAAAATCTTTTCTTCTTTATTAAATTTTATGTCAAGTCAAACTAAGATAATATTTTTTAAACGGATGAAGTAGTTATTTTATCTTCTTATATAGTCTTGGACAAGATGAATAATTCTATCATTATAATCTTGAAATAACTTATTCTCTAATCAAATGTCTTCTAATAATTTAGTTTAAACTAAATTAATTAAAAGAGTAAAAAGCTCCTGAAAAAATAAGAGTAAAAAATTACCGACATACAATTGGTTTTTACATAATCATTGAATTAAAAGAGAGATTAATATCACATCGGATATGTGATATTAATAATTCCTCAATTATTTAGTACTATTGCTTTATAATCCAATTATTCAAAATTCAAAACATGTGTTTGGCACCAAGCTAGATAAACTTGAATGAATTTCTATTCTTAATAGTAACCTTGAATGTTAAAGTAATGGCAATGAAAAGGGGCTTTTAAGGGGGGGTAATATTGGGCTTTGATAACGTTATCGTTGCATAGTTAATCCGAATATTTATATCACATATCCAATATGAGATAAATAATACCAAAATTTTAGTATAAACTTGATACCAATATTACCTATAATACTAGTAACCAAACGTTAGATCAACATAATCCCAAATTTTATTTTAGATTAAAATCCTGACTCCACTAACCATTTGGTTCACATATATTAGTCGCGTAAAAAAATTCATGCCTTAAACACTAAATAATAATTTAAGAATCATTTGGATGAACAATGTCATAGAAATTACTATGACTTGCATGAAAATTGCTTAAGAGTTAAAAATTGTTATTTTGTTTTTTCCAATATAATATTAATGAACTTCTAGACCAAGAAATAAGTAAGAATGGTTTTAAGAGATCATTTACATGAAAATGGAGTGGCTAAAGTAAAATTTGGTAATTGGAATAAAATTTACGTTGGAAGTTTCATTTTTAACTAAGGAGTTCCTATAAGTAAAGCAATAAAGTTGGGCTGATTTGACCAGAAATTCAATCTATTAAAGAAAGTATGATCAGCTATAATTACATAAACAAAATCCTATTCAGTTGCCGATGCAATTTGAAGTTATTACTTAAAAAACAATTATTTTATTCGACAAGATAAGTTTGTTAAGATGATTATAGAATTAGATAGACGAGATCTCTTTATTCTTTATTTAAACCCCAAGCTGGAAAGATCCCAACTACAGATTAAGAAAGAATAAATTATTTTTTGAACTTAGTAGTTTTTAAATATGCCGTGAAATTGTATATCAATAAAAGCATGTTATTAATGACAAAAGAAAAGAGTAATATAATAAATAGTACTACATAAATTAAAAAAGATGGGTCATTTTGTAATTAAAGTTTTTTTTTACTAGGATTATGCAAACATTTTTAACTAAATTTTGTATTAATCTCTAAATATATTTTCCTAAACTAGGAAAACCTCTTCTTTGAACGAGACTGATAAAGCTGTTCTGAAACCAGCTTTCTAGGAAAGGAGTGTTTAATCTTTATCGTTGAATCCTCCGTCTGACATCCACGTGGAAGGAGGAGATTTCTTTATCCCAAAAAAGGAAGAAAGAAAATCATCAACTTGTCACACTTTACTCTAATAAGATGAGAAAAGAAACGCAATTTCAAGACTTCATTAGAAGTTATGATCATCAAACTGGATCAAAAGGAAATACATTTAATCATGAGAAGGGTCTTTTGCGAGGAAAAATGATTTCGTGAATCACTTTCATTTGAGGAACAGATTTATACTGATCCAAGTAAGACGGTACAAAGCAAAAAGTAGACTGGAATAGATTCAACAACATGATTTTGATTAATAGCATGTTCGGCGAAAAATCAGCTTATTTGAAAAGTATTTTTTTGTGTTTGGCTAATTAATTTGAAAAGTACTTCTAAGCAGCAATTTATGTTTGGTCAAGTTTTTAAAAAGTGTTTCTAAGTGTATTTTTCTCAAAGATGAGTGCTTTTAAAAAAAGTATTTCTGGGAAGAAGCTACTTTTTTCTGAAACTATAAAGTTGTTTCTGCTTCTACTCAAAAGCACTTGTTTTTTCTTATAAAAACTTGACCAAACACTTCAACTTTGAAAAAAAACTTTTTATGCTTTTCATCGTGAAAAAACTTGGCCAAACAGGTTATAAGCCAGCCAGCGCAACCTGATCTATTCCTTACCCATCTCTGGGGTATTTGTTGAAACACTAGTTCAGCATAAGACATGTATAAGCAAGTCAGTTTTCTGTTGAAACAACTGCAACGCACATTTAAAGACTAATTCAAATCAAAGAAAGATCTATCCGAGCTAGGCGAAGATAATTATGAGAGCGCAACGAAGTTTACATGAGTTGGTATGTGGTTATAGGTAGGATTTCACCTCAGAATTGCCGACATATTTTAGCACTTGTTCATGCAATCAACTTAGCATATGAAGAAGGCACGAAAGTCACTATAACAAGAGAATAAAGAGTCACGTGTAGACAGCAAACAAGCTAAAGGACATTGAGGAAAGTTTCTGATACATTGGCCGTATCAGGCCACAAGATGAAAAGGAGCACTCACAAAACGACCAAAGACATTCTACGGCACCAATAACAGCACAATCTGCTTGAACCACATAGAATTGCAAAAAATTGCTACACTTTGCTCCAGTCTCTTGGTTAAGTGATGTTTTGCTCAACCTAAAACTATTGTGGCAAAAATAAAGGAAAAATATCTGGAGAAGGAGAGTTTGAAAACTGAAATTGATGATAATTCCTTTCAGCAAACTAAGGACTAACCCCAAAACAAATTAGCAAATAGGTCAGCAGATGAACATATGTATAAAATTCCACAATATTCATTCAACCTAAAACTAAGTTCTTGTCCAAAGAAAAAGGGCAGGCAAAACAAGGTCAGTGGCCAATTTTCAACCAACAGATCCTTTACTTCATTACGAAAAGAAATTCCCGCAATCAGATCCTTTACTTCAGTACACCTCTTTCTTTGCAAACTAGGTAAAAAATAAATGAGAAAGTAGGTCACTGAATCAACTGCTTCTTTGATCTTATTTTCTCCACCACATTAGGTATTATTGATAGGTAATGTAAGAATACTATCGATATAAAAAGAACATTTAGCTTCATGCTGGATCCACCACAATAGGTATCTATAGACGGCTAAGCTAAATCTTTGCAGAATTCATTGCCCATTAGCTGAAAACAGCTTGTCCACTATGCAAAACACTCTTTTTAACACCATAAACCTTATCATATCACATGTTCACACTACTGTAGACAAATTCATGGAAGCAAGTAGGCATTACATAAACAGTACAATAGATGATCTCCATGCCGATGTATGTTGATGCACGAAAACATTCTTTGTGGATCTTGCTAGAATAAGAAAATATTGAATCACAAGTCCCTTGACTACCTCAAAAAAACTGGGGCATTCTTTAATACAAACGGCAAAGACATTTCGTCACTGATTAAAACAATCAAGTTTAATCTGAAATAATCTTACAACCGATAAATAAACAATAAACAAAACACTGTCATCAACAAAAAGTTGGCCTCAATCCTCTAAAATCTCTAACCACAAGCCTATTCCGGAAATTTGGACCTAGACCTTGACAAAAAACTTACCGGTAGTTACTAAAACAAGCATCAGGTAGATTCTGGATAAGAACTATAGCTTCAATGCACAATAACCGACTCAAAAGGTTGGATCATAAAGTTCAATGTATAACTCACTGCCCCACACAAAATGAAATGGCTCCATGCCTCAAGAAGCTATTCATTGGTAGCCTGAGTCTAATATCTAATATTTTCTCTAGATCAGGGAACAACACTACCATCATTAGCTTGTTCCAACTTGCTCTACCATCATTAGTTGCCATAAACTTCTCTAGTATATGCATGAAGAGGTGAATGTGCAGGAATTGAAATCACCCAACTGAGTTGTTTATGCTGATAAGAAGGCACATTAACAGATGACACATAAGAATTCAATCATCATTAACCACCATCACACATATCATTCATGTGGTTATTTGATTTCACTTATTTTGTTGATAAGGTAGTTTTATTAATAAAATCAGTACCCGCAAGGTGCCAAAAACGGAGTACAAGAAGTTGGACCTGTTTTCAGACTACCCAAGACCAAGAGCAGAATCTAACAAGTCCAAGAAATCAACCGTGCTAATTACAGGATTTACACCATGCCAATAAGATAAATTCTGCATACATCTGTACTTTACAAAAAAAATTAATACCCTATTCCCTTCAAAGTATCTTCTCTTCCTCTCAAGCCAAATTGTCCAGATTATGCATAAAGGGGTTAGCTTTCCGTATCTTCTTCAGCCTTTTGTTCATTGGCCTTCTTTATTTGATACTATGAAACAAATGAAGTTTGGTGAGAGATGGATTTAATGGATCAAGGCTTGCATTTCCACAGATTCTATGTTTTATTGTGATTTCACTCATTCTTGCTTACACTACATCTCGCAAATAGATCAGACCTTTTATAATCTTCATAGCATCCAAGCAGTTTCTTGAAAACTCGCTTCAGATATGAAACTTAATACGGGTGTCGCATGATCAACAAAAAACTCGAAATCTCTTTTTTTCTTCAACCAAAGTGGAGTACAAAATACATAATATATCAACACACTACTGAAATCTTTTCTTAATGTTAAGGTAGCTCCTAGTCCACAGGCAATAAAAGAAGGATAATGTAAAAAAACATCTTTAAAATATATTCTAGCAAATTTGTAAGAACTCATTAATCTTTTGAATATCCTAAAAAAAGCAAGAAATTACAAAAATAGCTCCTTTCAGACCTAGGAATAATGAAGCCAGAAAACAAAAGTACATCTTCATTTAACATTTAGAATCTCAAGACATTTGAAACCTGCTAAAGCATAGGAAGAAACTAAACCACAAAATCTCCTCCCACTATAACAAATCGTGCATTTAATTTAAAACTAACATAATTCAGTTCTCTATGTTCATCTTTGCAGAATAGAACTAACAAACTAAAAATGGACTGAGCCATAAACAGCAATATACCAAACACATTAATCTGGTTCAAAATATCACTAGCAAAGAGAAGAGCATGTAAATTAAGAAACAGGCATACGCGATCAGGCCACGATGCTCATCCCCACAGGACGCCAGTTCAACCACGAGCCTAGTGCAAACCCGGGTGGACCATATCACGAAAACTCCTGTCACCACTTTAATCACCAATCCTCCAGGCAAAAACAACGAGATCGCGGACAAAATCACAATAGGCAACATACAGTAACCGATCAGGCTAACACACCTGTACAAATCCAAATTCCCATTTCGGCCCGCGAGCATATTGAACACGACGTAAAGAAACAACGAAGCCATTATAACCCAGCCTAATATAATTCCAAAATGAAGCTTTCCTGCCAGTAATTGAAAAAGCCCAAATGCCATGAGAAATATAAAAGGCCCTGACAGATCAGCATCTTCGTGAAGATCTGATTTGACGCGGAAGGGATTGAGAATACTGAGGGTTTTTTGGTAAATTTGTTTTGTGTTAATCCCTAGCTCTTCGAGTAACGGCGGCTCGTCTTCGAAACCCGTTGAACCGCCGCCGATTGTGGTGGAGGCGAATTGAGGAGTGGAAAATGAAGTGGAAGCAGCTGCAGATCCTACATCGAAGGACATGAAAGGTATGCTAGGGTTTGATGATTTCGGCGGCTGAAACGGCGCCGTTGGAAGTCGACGTTGTTGTGGACCGGGGTTTCCGCCCGACGGAAAAACCACCGGCGGGACGTTGAACTCTTTCGCCATTGATCGGAGATCTGGAGATTGTTAATCGAAATTAAATTTGAGAAATTGGATCGAAGTTGAGAGGGATACAAATAAAAGGCTTCGATTTGTTGAAGAATGGGATATTGAAAACACGCGCTTCAGTAGGAGTGAAATTAATTAATAGCGAGAAACCAGAAGCTTTGAGGCTAAGGCAGCAAATGCAGTGTAAACCCCCATTTGAAGTATGAGAAAAGAAAGGGTGGAAAATCAAATTATTTGTAAAGGGAGCAAAAATAATTAAATTAGGTGATCTTCCAAATTTTTCTTTATTCCAAGAAGATGAATATTAGCAGTTTAGCACTCACAACAAGTAGTGCCGTTTATTTTTATTTTATGAAAATTGGTCTTCTATTATTGTAAAATGAAAGCCAGTAATTCAAATTTTGAATTTTGGGTTCATTAAGTAAATTTGGATGGTTTTTTTATGTTTTTAATTTTTTGCTACATCATTACATGGTGTTGGAAATATCAACTTCGTACTAAGTTGACTTTGTGTGTGAAATAGAAATAACAAAGTAATTTTTCTTCGACAAATAAGCAAAAATAATTTTCTTGCACAATTTTCATTAAACCGATGATCATTTAAGCAATCTAACTCTATATTCACCTATGCAACATATTTTTACAATTAAAGTAATATCATGTGGACGAAGAAAATTCTTATAGAACAATTTGTGAAGTTAATTAATTTCATATATAATACATTTTATAGTTTTCAATATAGTTGTGCACAAAAAAATAGTGGTGGTGAACAATAACATATATAGTTACCGAATAAAGCAACATGAATAGGTTGAGTAACTCATTAACAATGCCTTTGAATGACTAAAAACGGAAAAGGAAGCCCTATGACTATGACTATGAGCATGTGAGATGAGATGCAACAACATTGTGAAATCTAATAGATAATGATATTATAAATTACTCAAAATAATCAAACGTGACAGTTCAATGTCAACATAATATTTTGTCACAAACTTAATTAATTCAATTTCAAAAATTAGCTTGTGAGTTGAAAGTTTATCAATCGCTTATCAGCGGCTTAAATTTTCTTTTTTCACACCACGTGAATTGACAGTACGTTCATTATCGTTTAGCCTAACTCGACTATAATACTAGTTAAAAAAGAGGTAAGATTGATTATGATATCACTCTGTCACCGATCTCGTTACAGTTTAACCTCGAAAATTAGCTCATAACATGAAAATTTGTGGACCGCTCATAAGTTGCCGCCTTGCCGGAGCCTTCCTCTCGTGCCCGATGTGAAATTGGGCGTCACAAGATCTCACACGTTGGGTATTTGTCACCCTTGTGCTAACAATAACCAGTAGAAATAGTACTTACTGCTTTTAAACTTGTAAATTGACCAGTGATGTAAATATTGCAAACTGTTGAGCTTAAATTGCGTTATTAAATCTACATTAACATTTATGATCAGTTTTTTTCTAACAACTAAAACATGGAAAGGAATGACGGATTTTATGAATCAAATTACTAATGGTTCTTTTTATCCTTCAATTGATACCGTTATTTCCTCAAAAAGCTAAAATTTTCATTTCAAACTTTCTATGATGTCTTTTGCCACAGAAACTTATTTAAAAGTCAACTTTTAAACATTATTAAAACTTAAAATTCATATGGTTAGATGAACCTGATAATAAGTAATAACCATATAGTTATTATAAAAGTCAAAATTATTCATATACCATCGGCTTAGAAACACTTTTACCCTCCGTTAATAGTTGGGCATTTTTTTGAAATTTTTACCTAACTATACTATAATAGAAATATATTTATCACATTTATTTAGGTTCCTTATTAATTACATTGTATATCTATATTTACAAGTTATATACAAAATTATAAAAAAGAAAAAAATTCAAGATCCCTTAATTTTAGCCCGACACCCACCCCCATTTTCAATAACCCCCTACATTTAAGATTTTGTTTCTGTCACGACCCGTAATTCCTGCCGTCGGGACCGTGACGGCGCCTAACATTTCACTTGCTAGGCAAGCCAACGTTAGAGAATCATTAAACCAGTCCTTATTTCCATTCAGTAAATAACAATAATTAGCTAAGGTGAAATATAATAAGTGCGAAATAATATAAAAATTGTATTAATTACTACCACCCGGATCTGGAGTCACAATTCACGAGTATTCTAGAATTTGCTACAAGTAATAGTCTGAAGGAAATACAATTGTCTGAATAAAGAAACGATAGAACAGAACAGATAGACGTGGACTACAAGGTTTGTGAACGCCGACAGATCTACCTTGAGTCTCCGGATAGCGGTCCAATAGCAAAATCTCAATCAACCCGAGCCAGTACCAAAATCTGCACAAAAAGTGCAGAGTGCAGTATTAGTACAACTGACCCCATGTACTGGTAAGTGTCGAGCCTAACATCGACGAAGTAGTGACGAGGCTAAGGCAAGACACCTACAAATCAACATGTATAATTTAACAGTGTATATACAAATAACAGTAATGAAGAGCTAGACAGAAAATATCGGGAGGGAAAAACATGTTGGGGGAAATACGAGATAAGGAACTACAGCAGAATGATAACTGGAACAACCAATATACTATGAATTAACAGAAACAACGAATACAATAAAGGAAAAATGCACAGCATCACCATTCGTGCTTTTACTCTCAATCTCACCATGAAAATAATAGAAACGGCACAACATCACCCTTCGTGCATTAACTTTCATATCATGGCACGGCATCACCCTTCGTGCATTAACACTCACAATATGGCACGGCATCACCCTTCATGCTTTTACACTCACAACATGGCACGACATCACCCTTAGTGCTTTTACACTCTCCCTTACCATAATACAGTGAATAAATAATAACAGAAAGGTAGAATAACAAGTACAAACTTTACTTCAATCTTTAATTCCACAATATCAATCTCAACTTCAAAATAAATACTCAATTATCATCAGAAGATCCGTAAACATGAAAAGAATGATTAATTTAACAACATTAGACTAAACTTGTAGCAATTAGGCATGGGAAAGAGACAATATAAGAAAAATGGGAGAAACATGAAAAACATATAAATTGGCAGCGCATAAGTACTCGTCACCTCACATATACGCCGCTCACATGAATTTCACATAGCAAATAATCTGAGGTTCCTAATTCCCTCGAGTCAGGGTTAACCACGATACTTACCTTGTTCTGAAGGCCACTTAATTCTCAATCACAGATTTTTCTCTATAATTCACCTCCAAACCACTCGTATCTATTCAAAAATGACTCAATAATATCAAATATCGCTAAAGGAATCAATTACATTGCATAAATTTAGATTTTCCAAATTTTCCTCCAAAAAATCGAAAATCGACCCCGGACCCGCTTGGTCAAAACTCGAGGTTCGGACAAAAATCCATTTACCCATTTACCCCCGAGCCCGGATATATAATTAATTTTGGAATCCGACCTCAAATTGAGGTCTAAATTCCCAAATTTCTGAAATCCCTAGTTTCTACCCTAACCCCTAATTCTACTATGAAAACTCTAGATTTTAGGTTGATAATTCATAAAAGGTAATGGACAATTGAAAGAAAAAAGTTTAGAATCACTTACCAACACTTTGGGGAGGAAAATAACTCTTGAAAATCGTCTCTAGCCCGTTTGTTTTTATGAAAGGTGGAAAATTGGCTTATTCCCGTTTTTGGATTCTGCTAAGTGCTGGGCGACAGTGTGCATCGCGTTCGCGAGGCCACCGTCGTGTTTGCGAAGAGTATCGGCTACCAAGCCTTCACGTTCGCGAGTCCTTGCTCGCGTTCACGATAGTTACTCCCCCCCTAGCCTAAGCGTTCGTGAGACATTGGTCGTGTTCGCGATGAAGGAACGACCAACCCTTCCCCAGGTCCCCAAGTGCTTCGCGTTCGCGATAAGCCTGTCGCATTGGCGGAGGGTAAATCCCCCATCACTTCACGTTCGCGACCATGCCTTCGCGTTCGCAAAGAAAAAATCTCAGTCTGACCAGTTTACTCTTGGCGTTCACAAGAGTACCTTCGCTAACGTGAAGAAGGACATGTCAGAACACCAGAATCTGCAGAAAACCAGATTTTTCAAAGTCCAAACATCTCGTGGCCTATCCAAAACTCACCCGAGCCCTCGGAGCTCCAAACCAAATATGCGTACAAGTCTAAAAACGTCATACGGACTTGCTCGCGTGATCAAATCGCCAAAATAACACCTAGAACTACGAATTTAGCACCAAATCAAATGAAATTCTCAAGAACACTTTAAAATTTCTATCTTTACTACCGGACGTCCGAATCACGTCAAATCAACTCCATTTCTCACCAAATTTCACACACAAGTCTTAGATATTATAATGAACTTATACCGTGCTCCGAAACCAAAATACGGACCCGGTACTAACAATGCCAAACATCAATCAATTCTTAAAAATAATTAATTTTTAGACTTTTAATTTTCATCAAAAATTCATAACTCGAGTTAGGGACCTCCGAATTCGATTCCGAGCATACGCCCAAATCCCATAATTCGATACGGACTCACAGGGACTGTCAAAATATGGATCTGGGCCCGTTTACCAAAAATGTCGACCGAAGTCAACTAAAATCAACTTTTAAGGTAAAATTCTTATTTTCATCAATTTTCAACATAAAAGCTTTTTGGAAACATGCCCGGACTGCGCACGCAATCGAGGAGGGTGAAAAATGAGATTTTTAAGGCTTAAGTGCGCAGAATCGAGTTCTAAAACATAATATGGCTTTTTGGGTCATCACATTCTCCACCTCTAAAACAACCGTTCGTCCACGAACAGGCATAAAAAAGTACCTGAGCTGGTGAAAAGGTGGGGATATCTACTCTACATATCGGACTCAGACTCCCAAGTAGTTTCCTCAACAGGCTGACCTCTCTACTACACTCGAACTGAAGGGTAACTATTTGATCTCAACTGGCGAACTTGTCGGGCTAGATTAGCCACCAGCTCCTCCTCGTAAGTCAAATCCTTGTCCAATTGGACAAAGCTGAAATCTAACACATGGGACGGATCGTCGTGATACTTTCGAAGCATGGACACATGGAAAATCGGATGAACTGATGATAACTCCGATGGCAACGCAAGCCTGTAAGCCACATCTCTCACTCTTTCCAGAATCTCAAAAGGTATGATATACCTAGGGCTCAACTTGCCCTTCTTTCTGAACCTCAGTACACCATTTATGGGTGATACCCGAAGCAA